GGGAAAGGGGTAATCAGAAGCAAATACTTCTGAGGAGGGACAGGGTCAAAAGAAAGAATAGAATAAATGGGGGGGAAGGATAGGATTAAGGGAAATAGATTTTTACATGTCTACTATGGAAGTGTTTTGCATAACTGCACATGTATAACCTATATTGAGTTGCTTGCCTTTTCAATGAGGGTGGGTGGGGAGGGAGGAAGGGAAAAATTTGGAACCAAAGTTTTAAAAACATGTTTAAAAAAAATTTTCACATGCACTGGGAAATAAGAAATACAAGAAATTGGGTACAGAAATCTATCCTGCCCTACAGGAAAATAGAAGGGGAAGGAGATAAGAGAAAGGGGGGGAGAGAGATAAAAGAGAAGGCAGACTAGAGAAAGGGGTATTCAGAATGCATGCCATCTTGGGGTAGGGGGAGAAGCGAGATGGGGTGAAAATTTGGAACTCAAAATCTTGTGGAAATAAATGTTGAAAACTAAAAATAAATAAATTTATATTAAAAAAATTTAAAAAAAGAATCAATGTCTACCTGTATGATATGAAGCATAAATACAAGATGCAGAATCCTTCCTTGGTAAATGTGAAGTACATATGTATATGAGCATATGTGTATGTGTGTATACATGTGTAGATGCCTATGAATCAGTGGTATCCTTGAGGCAGCTCCTAGCTACTCTGTGGTATCAATGGTTAAATTTTCAGTGGAAGCATTTACTCCTCAGAAATCAGCAAATGTTACAAATCAGGACATGATTATTTAGTTGTTTGTCTAAACTCAGGAAAGTTATGGGGAAATGTGAATAAATCAGATTAAACAGAAAAAAAAAAACATTGAACTTGATATCACAATCCCTGGGGTTGATATGCTTGTATTGTTCATTACTAACTGGGTGATTTTGGGCAAGTCATATGATCTCTCTAGGCCTCGCTTACCTCATCTATAAAAATGAGGAGGTTGAACTGGATGACCTCTAAGATTTCTTCTAACACTAGAACTGTTATCCTATGACCTTTATGCTCTGACTCATCTACATTTATTTCACACAGTCCTTCTTCACATAAGCTATGCTCTAGTTAAACAGGAATACCTGACATCCTTAAACACGTTCATCACTGTTCCATTTCCATGGCTTTTTCTACTCTCTAAACATAGAATATTCAGCTTCTTTTCTTCCTATTTCTATCTGTTCGTATTCTATGTATCCTTCAAGGTCCAGGTCAAACACCACTTCTTCCATAGCTTTCCCACCAAAGTTGTTACTGATCTGTTCTATGTGTTCTTTGAATTCACCCTGGGTACTCATCACATTATAGTGGGAATTCTCTAAAGCAAGGGTACCTGTAAATCCCCTGAACCTAGCGTTGTGTTGCTGTGGAGTTGTTTCAGTCATGTCTGAGTCTTCATGACCCACTGGAGTGGTTTGCCATTTCCTTCTCAAGCTCATTTACAGATGAGGAAACAGGCTTAAGTGACTTGCCCAAAATGACACAGCTAGTAAACAACTGAGGCTGGATTTGAACTCAGGATTCAGGTCTTCCTGACTCCAGCCTGGCACTCTATTCCCTATTTTACCTAGCTACCCCAAGAATCTAGTACAATGCATAGGCACTTAGTAGATGTTTGTTGAATTAATAAGGAAATGAATGAACATTGGATCATTTAGTATGTGCATTACATAATCAATCATTTATTATTGAATACTATGCAACAAGCACTATTCTAAGTGCTGAATATATATGTATGTGTGTGTATATATGTGTATATATATATATATATGTATATATATGAAGCAGTACTTGTTCTCAAGGAACTCATATTTATCAGGAGAGAGGAGAAAATGAAAATTAGTGGAAAGGAGAGTTTCTAGCAGGTGGGAGAATAATGATAGTTTCCTGTAGAAGAAAGTCATGCTTGACTTGAGCTTTGGAGGATGTTACTGTTTCTAACAGGCAGAGAATTGAGGAGGGAGTGCATTCCAGACACAGAGACAGCCTGTGCAAAGCATGGGGAGGGGGAATGAAGTATGTTATGTGAGCCAGATGAAAAAAAAAATTGGAGGGACTTCCTTTGCTATAGGGTCTGTGAAGGAGAGTAGTATGTAATATGATTAGAAAGAGCAGTTGGAGTCTATATGTACATTCATAGTTCAGTAGATCTTCCATTACAACTTGAATGAATGCTACTATATATGTATACATATATATATATATGTATACATATATATATATATATGTATACATATATATATATATATATATATATATATATATGTGTATACGTTAGGCAGCTAGGTAGCACAGTGGATAATGTAGGACATATAATAAGGAAGATGTGAGTTCAAATGTAACCTCAGACACTTACTAATTGGGTGCCTCAGGCAAGTCATAACATATTCACATGAGTTTTCTTAATTTTAAAACAGGAATGATAATAATAGCACCTACTTTTCAGGCTTGTTTTGAGGATTAAGATAATATTTGTAAAGCACTTAACATAGTAGGTGTAATGGTAATGTTCTTATTAATGTACATATTTTGAATATTAAATAATTATGAGGATTCCTTGCACATTTAACTTATTTTTTTTTCTTAAAACTATCAAAGGAAACCATGATTGTAGACTGTGTTCACTTAGACATTTCTCAGAGAGCTCGGAGTGACCAATCATTCCAATCAAGGAATCATTTTGACTAGTATTAAATATGGATCCAGAAAAAAAATACTTTGAAGCAAATGTGAGGGTGCTTAGGTGATATATTTATGTGTAACTATGGGAATAGATACTTTTGTGTTTCCCTTTGGCCCTGAATTTCTTATATGCCAGTGGAAGTCAGTGACGGAATATTATTTGATAGACAAATTTCACCTGATATAATTTCCCCCAAAGAAATCTAAGTAATGCAAGATCAGGTTATAATAAGAAACCATTATTTCCCTATCCCCTCATATACTATATTAGATGATTTCTTAAGACTTACTTAAATGTAAGCAGAATACATAATTTGTGAGTTCCTCAGGGAATAGTCTTTTCCTTTGAGTAATTCTAATTTCATTCACACATTTCAGGAATTTATTGATTAAAGCCCAAATCCATTGCTTTTCATGATTTTAATGAGTTTTAACTTAATAAACTACTTGTCAACATGGCTAGTTTTCTTAGCTAGACTTTTTTTTTTATCATTACTTCTCTATATAGCTAAAAAATATTGGGCTGAAGGATACTGGCAATACTTTAAAAAAAATTAATTGCTCAGCAATAGCCAAGTAGACATTAATTGCCAACTGTCAAATGTTTGTCATTTTCCTTGTATGTAGGTAGATAAAGCAAATCTTGGCTTGGTTTTTTGTTTGTTTGTTTGTTTGCTTGCTTTTTGTTGTGTGAGTGAAAAGATTATAGCACTTTTAACAGTAATCCAATGGAACTCCTTTATAATACTGGTGTCAGAGAATAACAACCAGGAAGGACATGACTGTGATAAATTAATTGCTATTTTTGTATTGTTTTGTTGTATGTATATCTATGCTCTTGAGGGGATAATTTGTAATTTGGCAAATTCAAATGTATTAAGATGTTAGTACAAACTAAAATGCAATTTTGTGGGGTTTTTTTTCTTGGAAAGCTGGGCTTTTGGGCTGAATTTCCTGTTTTATTAAAATGTCCAACTTTGTCTAGGCCAGGCTACATATTCTTTAGTGAGTTTATGACTAGATCAACTATTCAATGATAAAATGACTCACTAGTAATGAAGTACTTCTTTAATGTTTGACACCTGGCCTCCCTTGGGAGTGGCTGAGACTTGAAATTTTCATGAATGGGGAACAGCGTCTTTGTTGGAAAACTCACTGTTCTTTGGTTCCACTGGCCTTAACCAAGGCCTTATCTAAGGGTTAACAAGAAAGGATTCTGTTAGCACACTAAAGCCGAAGGCAAAGACAGCAAGAGTAGTATTATCTAGAGAGGAGTGACCTCTCCCAATATTTTTATGAAGAAAAAGAATCATTTTCTTCTCCAAACTAAACTTCTCCAAGTAAAGAGGCAATGAATACAGATTTTTTTTTTTTTGCTGCCTACAGCATCCCGTGAATTTTTTCAGATGATTTTTTTGGGGTTGAAAATGAATACTTTTCATTACACTTTTGCCATTTTGTTCCATTTAGTTTTCCCCAGAAAAAGCTTTTATTCTGTGCCTAGATCCCAAATGCACTGTTTTGCAAAACTCCTCCCATGTGGGCAGCTGTCCATCAGCCAATTTCTGTGTTGTGACTTCACCTCCCAAGGGTGCAGCACCGTCTGTGCGCATTAATGGCAGGATCAGAAGGTAGGAGGCCGGCGGGTGGCATCGCTGTCCTCTGACACTCAGCGCCTCTCAGTCTGGCATTTATTCCTACTGCCTGAAAACTAAGGCAAGAAGCTAATGAGTACCGCTCTCTAGATACTGTAAGTCATTAACCTGCAACCTGCACACTGATCCCAGTCTATTAAGTTTAGGCTGCTAAGATTCATGCTTTGGTGGGTCCCTGATGCCAAAGCATAATGCCTCTGTTTGTTTTACTTTTATTGCCCTGGTAGCAATGTCGTTAAGGAAGGGGGGAAGAATTCAATGGGTGACAGGACCCACACCAGGGAACAATCAGACCTGCAGACTTACTTGCATAAAGAAGATTGAAGCCTTCCCTCCCTCCCTCTGCCTTTCTGTATAGGCCCCAGTGCACATCTGCATCACTTACGGGGGAGGGGGAGGCTCAGAGGCTGATAGAAAATTGTACTGTGAGGACCTTAAAAGCTTTATAAGCGCCCCCCTTTCTCTCTTTTTCTTTATCTTTTCTTCTTTCTCTTTCTCTAACTGGGGAGGGGGGTGACGCAGAGGAAGCTGAGTATAAAGAGATGCCCTTCTATCTTGTTAGCCGTCTCTCGGCTAGCACAGATAACCTCCCCTGAGAGCCAGCGGAGGAATAGCCGACGCACGCTTTACGGCTGGGGGCAGAGCGCTCAGGCGAGTTTTCGCTCGCCCTCGGCGCTCTCCCAGGCTCTGAACTCTGGGCAGCTGACTGCCAGAGGAACTGGAGTCCCCACTGCTTCAGGAGGAGGCGGCCGATCGCGTCCGAGCTGGGGCTCTGTTGCTCCGGTGCCTCTGATTAGGGGTTATCTCGCTGCTGTCCGAGGCCAGCCTGCGCCTCCAACTGTGCGTGCGGGTGCGCGCACAGACCTCCCCTCTCCCTCTTGGCTCTCTGAGCGCATCTCTCCCAGAGCCGCCTCCGTTGCCCCCTTCTTTTACTCTACTTCCCTCTCCTCCTTTGCACCTCGCGGGTTTTGCGAGGGATTCCTGAAATCTCTCTTCTCTCTCCAGACCTGGGCTTCTGTCTAGATCTCCAGCTCAAACGGGCTGAGGAAGAAGAAACAGCTGTAGAGCCGCGGTCCCGCGGTACGCGCTCCTTTCGCCAGGAGGCAGTTCATAGCTAGTGGCTGGACACTCAGCCCGGCAGTGGCATTCACTCGCGGTCCGTGTCCAAAAGGCAGCAGACTGTTTTCTTTCTCTTGCCTTCTTTTACCCTGCACTGCCCAGACTCTCGCCCTTACCTATCTTTCCTTGCCTTGGCTGCTGTTGGCTCTCTCCGCTTCTCTCTTCCTTCTGGAAAGCATGTCAGGCTCCGGGAGAAAAGACTTTGATGTGAAACACATCTTGAGACTCCGCTGGAAACTCTTCAGCCACCCTTCTTCCCCAGGCGGGCCGGCGGGGGGCAGCTGTCTCCAACAGGACAGCAGTGGCAGCTTTGAGCACTGGGGGCCAAGCCAGAGCCGTCTGCTGAAAAGCCAGGAGAGGGGCAGCGGGAGTACCTTCTGGAAAAAGCCATCCTCTTCGTCGTCCTCTTCTTCTTCCTCCTCCTCCTCTTCCTCTTCCTCCTCCTCCTCGTCCTCCAATCCACTCAATGGCACCCCGGCCCCCTCTGCCACCAGACTGCATCAAGGATTACCTGGTCAGAGTCAGCAGCATCCTCCTCGGACAGTCTTTTATGTGGAGTCCCTGGAGGAAGAGGTGGTGCCGGGCATGGAGTTTACTGGAGAACATGAAAAAACCTTGGTCCTTCAAGAGATGAAAGTTGAGTCTGTGGACTCTCTCCAGGCAACAGGTGAAGGATGTGGACACAGGTACAGTAACTTCCTTGGGGCAACCAGAACATCCTCAAGTTTCCATAACAACAGCAGGGTGTCTTCAGTTTTTGTTTGTTTGTTTTCCCTATTTAGCCTTTCAGGGGCCTAAACTTTCCAGATAATGATCTTTGGCTCAGATTTTTCAGGCTTCATCTTGTCACCCAATTGTATTGTTATTAAATGTTTGTAAGTGATGTTGGATGATGCCTGTTCTTTTGTCAGATATTTTTAGTTATTGATTTGGCAGACCATATAACCTTCAGGTATAAGGTTTCTATGCTTGTGCTAGGTTTTTTTGCAACCTTGATCTAGGTTGTCTCAGGTTCAGGAACATCTGCCTCTGGTGCTATGCAAATATTTTAGCAAAATTAAACTCATTGATTGGTACCGTCCAGTTTTATTACTTAGTTATCTGGAATGTCAGTGTCTTGATTTGCAACACTATTTGAGAGGGGCTAGAGGGTATTTTTCTACAAAAGAATTGAAACTGGTAAGAGCTTCAACGAGACAATATTGGTAAATGTCATGTTATTAAAGAAGAAAAACATCAGAGAAAGTATTGTCAGCACTGATAGGCCTTTACAAAGTGACAGATTTCTTCTTTGGTCCTTAATGGACATACTTGGAATTGAAAATTGGAGGTTTTATTTGAGAGGTGATTGCCAAATTTGGGACCTAACATGAACTTTATGGGCAAAAGAAATGAGAAATGCATTTGCAATGAAACTTTGCTCTTTATTTCTTAAATAATCTTGAAACCAAACTTTTGATATATGTCATTGACCTCAGAGAGCAACCTCTTTTAGATATATTTGTAGTCATATTATTGTAATGCTCAATTCCCAAATCCTTGTCCCTTTCCTTTTCTGCTCAAAGTTATTCCTGAATCCTGGTGCTAGCTAAGACTAAGACAGCCTTCAGCTATGATGAATATTGATCTGGAGTATTTGAAATAGCTGTGCTTGGTTGCTAACCAAGTACCAAGTCACAAAAAGAGGAAGTTTGAAAACAAGACCCTTTGGACTGTTCATTCCCTTGGACAGAGAGAAAATTAAACCCATTAATACTTCTGATTTTAAATGTTGAGAGAAATTACCTATTATTATGGTGTAATATCCCATGTACCGTTTATGTGTATGAGTTAAAAGACTTTAGTCCTTAATGCTTCATGATGCTTCATAGAGCTTCTCTTGCAAGTTGGACTATAGACAAATCAACTTCTGGTGTTAGTTTTATGACTAGAGAAATAATGAATGCTAAGAGTTCGTAAAGAAATCAGTGGGAACAGGGATAACTTTTTTTTTAAGTTCAAATTGTAGTTTGATGCTCTTTATCAAGTCAATAGAATCAAAACATAAATATAGCATTAAATATGTCATCACATTTTTATCTTTTTGCCGGAGGCATTGCAGTAGTTTCTCCCTTATAACATCTTCTCATTTGCACTTATTTAAAATATGTGCATATTATGCAAATGTTTCCCATTATACAGTTGTTATTTAACCAAGGGTTAAGGTACATTATGCCAAATAAATATAAAGTGTACATTTTGCCATATAAATTTCGAACCATCTAGTAAAAGCAAGATTTTTTCTTAAAATTATATTAAGATATGACTAACTTCTCCAAGTTTTATTCCATAGTTTTCTTTGAGTGTGAACTTTTAAAATCCAAAATGAAATAGCAATATGATTTATATCAATATAATTTTAGGAAAGTAAAAAGCTTCCAGAAGGTGTTCAGTACTAATTTTGTATTTTCTTTGGCTAATTCTTTTTTTTTTTACTCTTATTTTTTGGGAATATCACTAATGCTTTAAAATCATATATTCTACTTAGTTGCACAAAATAATCATTTTTGTATTGAGAAATCTTACAGATACTTTTTGACACTCTATTTCAATAGTCTACAATGTAATATTACTTTTAAAAAAAGATTGGGCTAAATATGTTTTGTTGTGCATGCTTTATGAGAATCAAATATTCCAGAAAAAAAAAAAACAACCAAAGTCTGGTAGAAGAGTCTTTACATTCTTTATCTTCTCTTGTGCCATCAACTTCTTTGAAAATCTGGTGAAATACAACAGAACCCTTCTCAAAATAGTGGTTGCTGTTTGTATTCATAATTGAAGAAAATACAAAATTTCAGTTGGAGGTTAATGATAATAAAGATGTATTTTTTTCACATCCATGTTCATGGATCCCCTGAAATCTCTTCCAGGACCTCTTTGGGGCTTGAAGACCCCAGGTGAAGAATTTCTGTTTCAAAGTACATAAAATTAACACACAAAGCTAAGTAAACTTACTTAATCCACTAGGTTCAAAGCTTTAACTTTTTTGACTGGAAATAACATTGATCACTTTTTTCTAGCAATTGCACCATTAAAAGTGAATGTACTTGATTTGGAGATAACTTTTCTTTATTGTTTTTATGAACCTGAGAATTTTAGAGCAAATATGGAGTATGTGAATTAAGAAAGAATCACTAAATAAAGGTAATGGAAGTAAATTACCTACTCTATAATTAGGGTGGGTTTTTTTTTGGAAAAAATCATATAAAATACAAAAGTTTCCAAATATGAAGATAGCATAGCAGCTTTACAGATCTTTATGACACACACCACTTAGTCATATATATTCTGTAAACAAATATAAAATTCTTACTAGATAAACATTTTTATTATTAGGATCTTGGGAATCCCATTGGACTGTAGATAATGAGTAACTTGAAGATCTTTCTATTGCTGGCTGAATTTGATTGTATTTGTAGATAGATAGATAGATAGACAGACAGACAGACAGACAGATAGATAGATAGATAGATAGATAGATAGAGATATATATGTTTGTGTGTATGATTCCCTCACTAGACAAAGCACTTAGTGATTGCATTTGATGGATTTTGTACATTCTTAAGCTTTCATAGTGTGTTGGCTCTTTGTTCATGATTAATTGCAGCCTCAGTTCAAAACTCAGTAATTAATCACTATTAATATATATTGTTTCAGTTTATGTACATGTTAATTATTTAAAATAGTGTGATTTGTCCAGGAAAAAAAAAGAATGCTTTTCCAAAGACTACTGAAGAGTTCTTCCAAAAATTATTGAATTTGAAAGTTAAGAATTTTAAGAGTATAACAAGGAATTGTCAACATTTTCTCAGTTTTGTGGAAATTTTTGTGACACAGAGTATTCAATGAAACATAATTTTTATCAGTACTCATCACAGTAAAGGAACTATGGAGTCAAGTATTTTTACTTTGTGCAATACAATTCCTATGACAAAATAAATTGTGGTTTTCAATAATGGATCCTTAACTATTCTGAAGCAAGATGTATTCATTTATTCGCTTGCTTATGAATGAAGGAGATGGTTTTATTTACGAGGAGCCTATCTAAATGAGTGTTTTAGTACAGCTAGGATTTCTACCTTAGGGTTTCATCCAGATGAAGATGGGACCTTAAGTGGAAACAGACTATGGAGGAGTTGGGAAGAGTCCTAGGACTTACCTCTCACATTCCATACATACACCCTTTATTGCCAAGCCACTATTTGTCATAGCCTCTCGGTTCATGTCGGGTATAATTTTGTATCTTAATTCATTTCTATCTTAGAAAGTATATATCTTCAAGTCACTGGCACATCACTGCCATATCCTTGCCTTTTTTTTTTAAACTTTATTTACCACATTTCTTTACTTGGGTCATGAGGCTTCAAAATGACAGACTGGTATAATACATACCACCTGAACGTGTGACACTGTAATACCACCCTGCTAAAAGCCACTCTCTTTGGCTGCAGTCTAAAATAAAAGTTAGCATACTTTGGTAATCATTCAGAATCTGTGACCTCAACAGATCTATGAGTTGTTTTAGTCTGAGGCCTAAAGCTAGGTGTGTGTGTTTGTACGTGTGTGTGAATACATACAATACATATACACAAACACATATGTATCATGTGCATATACATGCATACATATGTACACACATATATAGATGTATACATCCACACCTACATCCCCAAAATTATAAAGCTGGACTACTTAGATTTACATAATTTGGTCTAAAGTTGTATTGAAATAACTGGAATGAAGTAACAGTCAAGTACAAGTCAACACATATGTATATCCTGGAAAAAAGAAACAGTACAAAAATTATAAAATTAAAAAGGCCTTGCAAGGACTAAACAAAATTTAATGTTCATAATTGACAAATGTACTGTATTAAAAATGATCAGAGTGCTGAAATGACTAAATGTGATCATAAATGTTAAACTTTTGAGTTATTTCTCATTGTCTCATCTGTGGAAATCCCTTTGCTAATATGTTATTTTTGCTCATGGGCACCACAGCTAGACAATAAAATCCAGAGAAAAAAAGAGTGTGAAGATCAAAAGAAAGTCATAAAGAATATTAAAAAAAAAGACCTATGGAGGAAAGATCAAATTCACTGTTCTTATTCATCCTACACACAAAATCATATATATGGGTGATTTAATAAATATTGGTGTCAGAAAACACAAGAACTGATTGGTCATATAAAAGGTAAATATTAATTCTTCTCTTTATCCATTAAGGATAAAATCAAATTAAATAAGCCTATATTTTGATTGTAAAGGAATGATCCTTCTCTTTTTCTGGTGGAAATTAAGCCTATTATTTGTGTCATGTTATTAAGGTATTTTAATGTTTTAAAAGTGTAATGATAATATTTTATAAGACCACTAATAGAAGGTTGGGTTTGTACTGTTGTAAAAGGTTCAAGAGACATAATTTCTGAGTAATTTGATAATTTTATTAATAATGTCTGCATTTGGCATCTCTTTCTTAGACCAAAGACAGTCATGGCAGCAAGCCATTAGAAGAGTAGGTATTCCCTGAGGGTAGCAATCAACTTTGATTGGTTAACAATTAATGAGAGAATGAATATGACAATGAGGGGCTGGACCTGAACTTTGATTATGTCATTTACTTCTTCATTTACCCCCAGATTTGGACA